AAATCTCACATCATCTGAAATGTCTCATGTTTATTACCTCCAAAGGTAACAAATATCCATCGTGTTGCTGTTGGCATAGGTCCTGATATAAACCAATTGGAACTTGAAGCCATCACAGGTGACAAGAATAAAGTGATAATGGTGGACAGCTTCAAAAGTCTTCATAAGCACTTAGAAAACATCAGCCAAATCGCTAATGGTAAGTCATTCCTCAGCTGTTCCTCAGCTGCACCGTTACAGGAACCTGGGTACAGCAGTTTAGGAAATTCTGTTACTCATTTCGTCCCGGAAAATGGAGATCGTCCAGAATCTCCAAATTTCCTTATCCTTCTCACAGACGGAAACACAAGGCGTCAGAGCCGTTCGATACCGCGATCACTCAACCCCCATGCAAATCACATATTTATGTAACCCTGGTGAAGAAGTAGTTAAGCCTTTCACTCCTAGAAGTGATAAGTATGTAACTTCTCCCAATAATATCCATATATTAACCTACACACAGGTAATAAGAATACTCAACTAATCAGTTGAAGGGTGTTATCTTGATCCAAAATTCTCATAACTAATTTACAAGAAGATGTGTTGCAGCTAGAGGGGAAAATTAAGATTCAGATCTTGGGACTTAAAGGGTTAAGTGAGAATGGTGACCTATCTGATTTTCAAGTTTCACGAGCTCTATACTCGGCAGTGTTTTGTTCCCATGTTAATTTTTTTTTTCATTATCGCGTCTGAAATTAGCAAACATTAAGGAGTCGAGTATTAAGCCCAAAGCAAACAAGGATAGCTTAGGTTGAAAAGGTTAGAAAATATTGGAAATGAAAAGTTGATTTACGCTCAATTTTTGAAGATGCACAAATCTTGACTTGACTCCAAAATGTTCCATTTGCTTTATATTTCTCTAAATCATTTTTTTTTTGTCTCACCGAGTATCATCGCCAAGCCAACGGACAAAATTATTACCGAGGGTAAATTTGTAACATCCTTCCATTGTGTTGCCACTGGGAACCCAACTCTAAAGATAACATGGACTAAAGATGGGAAGACTGTGGGTGAAGGAGACACACTGAATTTTGAAACCAACGGAACTCAATCTGGGGAATACTAGTGTTCGGCAGAGAACGGAGTAAAAGCTGTTGTCAATGCCAGCGCCAATCTAGACGTCCAATGTTTGTGGTTCAATGCTTGACATCTTTTTACTAACTGGTTTGTTATTCACTTTTTCATGCAGTATGTATTATATTTCAGTTCCACTAAGCTTTGCTTCGAGACCAACAAATCAAACTGTTATTGAGGGAACGAATACAACTTTCCATTGCACTGCCACTGGGAACCCAA